GTGTTTTTTCCACGGAGTGTTAAAACAAATGATTAAAATGGACAATAAACAAGAAGACCATGCCAGGACTTTCATTAGTCATAAAACCATGTCGAATAGACGACGCGGCGGGGAATGTTGAGGGCGCCCTTTCAATCATCTGGTAACAAAAAAGTACAAATGCCAAATCTAAAAGCTCAACACTGCATTTTTTTTTTTTAGGATTCAGATCATGCACACAAACAAGCTACATAATGGAGTTGTTCTTGTGAAATGGGCCGTAAAATCGACCATCTGACGGCGTTAGAAGAATCTGCTACTTTTAGAATTAATACAAACCAAAGAAAGGGAATGCGAAGTATACATGTATTTCGTTTGCTACAGAGAAACAAATTCGGGGTAGGTTTTAACAACTGATATGCGTATTGCAAAGCTAATTATCGGGTAATTATAGTTGTTATGCAAGCAAATTTGTAGCAAACATGTTAATACTAATTTTCTTTGTTGATGAGATGATGGACTGGGAAGCGGGGTAGTGTAGTGCTGCGGAAGTGGCTTAAACTTATGAGATACATCATCACAGTAGTATGCCTATGCTAACTGAGTGTGGAGGGGAACACACGCACTCAAATTCATCCATACTGGAATTTGTATCCTTGTGGAGTCATTTCTTTGTTCTCGTGTACTAAAGTTTTCGAGTTTGAAATTGTAGTTTCAAAATGCTCCAATTTCACCAGAATTAATTTCCTGGGCTGAAATGCGGACTTAATATCCCTTACATAAAATACTTCAATTTGCGACGGATCAACACACCTTGGGAATTCCTAGTTTTTGAGTAAAATCCATCTATCTATTTTGTGGAGACGTATTCATTTATAGAAATTGCCCTGTGGAGACGTATTCAGTATTTTGTTCCCTTTTATACCCATGTCTCCACAGGGTACCGTGTAACAGATCACATGATCAAAACCTGTCCATAGAGCGGCCTGTTTTGATAAACAAAAACAGGCAGGGCCTAATTGTTTCTTCGGCTCTTCAAGAAAAGTTGAGGACGCAAAATAAAACAATTGCACTCTCTGAACGTTGTGTTATTTTTCTTCAATTGTAGGTGTAACTTGATTGTTTTTTTTTGCTCTATAATTATTTGGAAAGCTACTTTGGGGGGGGGGGGGGGAATGGAAATATTGGCTTTTTAGGCTATCCCAGACAAAGTCACTATGTCTTTTGTTTCTGTATATCTCTTGTTATTGTTGTCTGCAAAATAAAACATGCTCTTGTTAAACTGCGTCTGAATAAAATTGAATTTCAGCTAAGAATTTAGCGATTATAGCTAATCGCAATTAGCTTTTCTTACAGTATCACTGACTTCAATTTCAGCCCCCTCAAATCGGTCGCCTAATTTTTTTCCCCCAGCACGTTCTGTTGTTGCATTTGCGCCGTGGCCGACGGCCAACTGCTCAGCCCTTAAAAGCCTTCAAGATGCCAACATCAACACACCATGATACGTGGTTAATTGATACGATGATACGGACTTGGGAGTGGGTTTAGCGGACGCGGTTTATACGGACCCACCGCGCGCGGCAAGAGCTCAGATCCTCCAGGCGTTTAAACGGTTGGCGAGTTTTTGCGCGCGCGGGGAGAGGTAGAAAAAAACTGACAGAAAATCATTCTGCTCTGGTTCTTGGCCGTCTTAAGTGCTTGTGTTTCCTAGCGGGTCTTTATCGCTGTGTGTGTCAGGGAGTGAAAACATCGATATTTTGGGGGGAAGGCGAGGAGGGTTGTTTATGTTGTTGAAGATCCTCCGGTGTTTTGGAATGGGATGGACAGACAGACAATCTCGGGGCTGTTTTCCTTTTGATTTTCAGATGGAGCGAGTTCCGAATTAAAATTAAAATTTCAAGCGTGAATCTGGAATGAGTCCATACGAATCATTCCGAGGATACATTCAATCAAAAATTTCAATTATCTGCATCAAAATATTGAACCAGTATTTAGTGGAGAAATGCTTTATAATCATTTTTTTTAATAACCAATGATAATTATACCAAGTACAGATGTCTTTATGTAAAGTAATAAATCTGTAACATTTGCCAGCTGGTTTACAAAGTACACTGGCTGCAATTGACAATTACTTCTGTCCCAATGATGTCGCATTTTCACAAATCTTATTATACCTTTGCAATTATCATCCTAAAAACATTCAATTAATTTTATGTGCTCGCAATTGGTAGAAAATTACGCCAACAATTCAACAGACTCGTTGCAAATCCAATTATATTTCCACATTTTTCACATGGCCTAGGCCTAGGCCTAAACGCTTTCATACTAAAAAAAATTCGTCACAAACTCAAGGTAATTCATTACTGAAACACAGGCAATGGGAATTGTGTCAACTTTTGTGGCAAGTAATGAAGTCAAAACGAATTTTCTAAACAAAGTTAACTGCTGCCAAGGGTGGATCGGGGGGGGGGGGACAAAGGGGGCCATGCCCCCCCAACCCCCCCCCAACCCCAACCAATTGTTTTTTTTTTATGTGACGTCGCAATAAAGGCAGGCAATGAGTACACTACCATCTTTTCCTCAAAAAACATTGATTAAAGTGGTCAGAAATTGCCTCAGATCGCACCACAGAGCATCGAGAATCCGAAAATGTTTAGGGGCCCTTCCCCACGCCGTAATTTTTTTACCCACTTTTTGGGAGACACAAATTTGTTTTTGGCCCCCCAAAATTGTGCTCTGGATCCGCCCTTGACTGCTGCATGGTTCTGAAGATATTATCTTTAGTTTATTCGCAAAAAGATACGAAATTCAATCGATTTTTTTTAACAAAGGCACCTTCTCTTGCGAGGAGCTAGGCAACTATAATTTGGACTAGAATTATTAGACCATTCACATTCCGTGATTTTGTTGTATGGATTATATTTTATTGTCAAGATAATTATCTTACATCAAGCACATAACAAAAGAGCTAGATAAACCTGATTGATCAGTATTCAACAATTCTGCGAAAACTATTATGTACCCCTGTAGTCGTCTAGAACAAAATAATTAGCTGGTGTGTTTATTCTTTTTTTCTCTACCACACGCCAGCCGTGATTTGAATTGAGCTGGTCTCATAAGATGGAGAACTGAAAGGGTACTCGGTATTGAGAACTGGTATATTGCTTGGAGACAATTGTTTCTCATGAATAGCAAATGAGGCAAGGGGTACACTGCCCCAAGCCGTATAATGGGTATTATACAGACTGGCCATTAACTCTCAGAAAATGGACAGTATTCAAGCACATGGAAATAGAAGATGATCGTAATTATGGGCGCAGTATCACAGCAGGCATTGACTTTCTGTGCCGGTCGTGCGAGTCTTATAATGGTCCGCGGTCCATCCATTTCAGCGAGCATACGGGGCATGGGTATACGGGCCAGTAGCGCTCAAGCCCCGCGGGAGTACGGGACAGAAACTCGGCGGCAGGTGGGATGCAGTCGTGAAGTCCATCATCCACGGGAGTCTTTTATTATAGGGGGCTCGGTATCAATTTTTCGCCGGAGATGACAATAATGATAGCTCGACTTCACACGATGGGCAATTTGCATGCTCCCTCTTTCTGGCGTGTGTGTGTAACCGGCCAACAAACACCGTTCCCCAAATTTACCGTGCCATACGCAGCACCGAAGTTTACACACAATTAACCCGGGCAGTCGGCCCGCGCGAGTCCCTTGTCTACTACCGTGTGTTGACTGGCAAGCTCCCCAGTCGATTGACGGGGTTTGGACGGCCAAGTCACGACGGTCCATTAGAATAAATCACGGTGAACATGAAGTCAATTATAACCGGATCTCCATAATTTGAGGAAACATTACGGTCGACCTAAGCCTATCTCACTCTACCCTATGCTGCAACATCTAGCGTATGTGCGATGCGTGAATGGATTGAGCAACATTTTTTTCGACTGAAATTTAATTTTTAACAGGTCCTTTAGTGAATTTGGGTACCAAGACCGATTCTGCCAAAATCAGTTGTATACGTATGACATCGTGGCTTTTTACATGTACAAACTTCAAAAGAAAACATTTTAAGACGGCACACGTTGTGTGATTAAGCCTATAAATTGTGCAGAAAAAAATAAGAAATCAATTCTTTGATTTTATATGTTTGTAAGAAAGAAAAAATTGTTAGATGGAAATGTTTTAAAAGTTAACATGAATCAACTATTGGAGTTTTTGAACATGCTTGCGGTAAACTACGAAATAGGCCTATGCAGAAATAAACCTAATATTGCCAGTTTTTTAATAGTATCGTCAATTTTTTTTATTAGTGGTGCATTAAATATATTATGAGGTTTTTAAAAAAGTCACATCGTGCATGTTGCTCAAGTGATTCTGTGACCAATCGGTATAATTGCGCCTTCCGGTGTTTGAGGGCGCTACAGCGGTATTGATGTTAAATTCATTTCGATACAAGCTGTGATATCCTGCCTATGTTCCGATTATGTTTTAAGTCTTCCGGAGTATACACAAAACCCCATAGGAACATCAGTTATGTGTAATTAGCACAATCTCTTCAATCGCTAACACCCTAAGTAATATTGATAACTTCCGCCATGTCTCACCATCATCATGAGTCACCGCGTGAGGGCGTGTTCCCTTACATAATAACCCCGACTTGAACAAGACGCCAACAATAATGACCGAGGTCATTATACTATAGATGAGCAAGTACGACATATTGGGATTTGTTGGGCGGTACCGTCTAATCTACAGTAGGGAGTGTGTAACAGCTGCCTGGTTGGGTGGGCGGGGACACGCCCATCAATCTGGTCTTCGTCAGGTAGTTCTTGCCGCATTTTGTGCTAAAAAACAGCTTTTGAACCAGCTTCCTTTTGGGCAGCCTTCACTATGTTTATAAGTTGTCTTTTTAGCTTCTGATGTCGATTTAGATGTCATTTTGTACAGGGACATAAGATGAAGAAGTTCAGGCAACAGCCGTATAAATATATCTCCAATGGAAAACAGCTAAAACTTACCATTGATGTCATTCCTGGCTATCTTTCGACCTTTGACCTCGACGTCATCCATGACGAGATCGACCATGGCCCTCGAGCCAGCTGTGGACGCACCGACGGGGCAGAGCTCCGTCATCCTGGGCTGGTGTCGATCAGTCGAACTGGTGTCGATCAGGCCGGAAGGGGGCGCCCCGCTCTTCTCCAGCACGCGGTGCGGGGTGGTCGCTATGCCGTACCCGTTGGAGTCGGTTTGAACGAGCATTCCCGGCGAAACGTGGCCGTTGTGTGGTACTGGCTGCTGCTGCTGCTGTTGCAGTCCGTTGGCGTCCATGTTGAGAAGGTCTGACCCGTTTGTCGAGACAGGGGAGCTGGTTGGATGTTGGCCGCCGTTGGGGGCGCCAAAGTGGTTGAAAGACGGCAGAATGTCGCTAAACGCTCGCCTGTTGTCGAACTTGAACATGCTTGCTTCTGAAATATCGCTTGTAGGCTTCTTCTGGAAAGAAAATTAAGAATGTTACCAAATGTGATCACTTGAACAAGGAAAAGCCACAAATTAAAACAAAGAGAGATAAGTTATGAGATTCCTTATTTTTTTCTAAAGTTAGTTACTCATTTGTGTTTCTTCGTTAGTTTTAATAGGACTGGTATGAGGTTTTGTGGTAAAACTATGCAGGTGTACTCTTCTGTGACTTAACAAAATATGTGTGATTCTAAAAAGAACCGGTTTCATAATCGAACGATTCGAACAGAATGATCTGTCACTCTTCAGGACAGAGCTGTTAAATGTTTCATATGATTATCCACATCCCCTTTTCCACTTCCTTCGACTGCCGGCCATGACACAGGTCCGCGCGCTTTATGTTTCTCCGAACTTGAACATATGGTCCTACCGCGAAAGTGTCATGATTCACGGCCGCTAAATAACACGCCGCACGACACGTCAGGTCGATTCCGAGCTTACATGATCGCTACTTGTATAAGCACTGTCCAAAATAATGCTCGAATTGTTCTTGTCTGCGTCACATTTTTAAAGTGAAATTTCTTGCGGTAAAGTTTTTATTTCTGATCAATTTGTGCTTCTTTCCATTTCATTTTTTCCGTTGGTCTCAGAGAGTCTGCCTCTGTATGTCGTCTTTGTTACGATTTCACTGACTGACTTGAATGACTGACTTTTTTCACTGACTGATTGACTGTCACTTGTGTGTTGCGCAGTGCTATCGTATAGGATACCTCGTAACGCTAATAAATGGCTAAACCCAGCCCACTGTTTAGACTGATGCATAGAAAAGCTTCAGTGAATAACCATTCCGAATCAACTGAATATAATTTTGTGTGTTTTGGTACTAGCTTTACTAGACTGACATTCTTTTCACTTAATTGCTTAAGTTTTAAGCTGTAACGTTGGAAAATTTTACCTTATCTTTGTAAAAGTTTTAAAATGCATAGATCTGGCCTAGCAACGAAAGATGGAAAGACATAAATCGCTAGAACCGTGGGCAAAGTCTGGCCGCGGACCTTAGTTTAAGCCGGGCAGTGCTACTGTGTAGGACTACCCCGTTGAACACCAATGGATGGGTTAATCAGGCCCAGTTTGTAGACTGATGCTTGCACTGTAAAAAAAGTTGGGCAAAATGGGTTGATAATTCGACCAGTGCTGGTCGAATTTTCAACTGCCTACACTCTTGGGCAAATTCTTCCCAATAGTTTGACAGTTTTCACCCAATTCAACCCAATATGAGGTAATTTCATACCAATGTCGGTAAAATTTCATTGCCCAACAGTATTTTACTGGAAAACACCCAGTAAATTGCTATTTATTGAATAAAATTGTGTGCACTCTGGGACCCATTGAAAACGGTCGTCAAGAACGAAGTTAAATACCCTTGAATCGCCCCTTCGTTACTTGAGAGCATTAATGATGATTAAGGGCGGAGAGACACAACATAAGAGGAACTAATATATTTCGTTTCCTCTTGTATAGCTTTCGGATTGTTTCCTCACGATCAGTTTTATGACCCGAATATCGACACTTCCTCCTCCCTGACGATTCTAAAATTCCTACATTTCCGATTGGGATGCTCCCTAATCAGTTACACCAATTACTCCGCGGCACCCTGGCTCCCATTCGATGTAATCATTCCCCAATTATCACATTAAGCTTCATAAATTAACCCCTCCCGGTCCGGCAAAAGAAGAGAGTTCCCTTCATTCAACGACATAGAGGACACTGATAATTTCGCAATAAAAGTGCCAATTGCGAATGGTCTCACTGCAAAGACAGAGAAAGTACCGTGTACATGTGTACCCAAAACTTTGATACCAGGAGATAATGTTTAAAACTTTACAAGTTATTCTTGCTGAAAATAGATCCGAAAGGAAAAGTCTCATTCGTGATGCATTTTGGAAACTCAGGAAATCTGAACATCGTCTTGCTATTCAAAAGTGGGGAAAACGCAGGGGAAATGTTCCATGTCGTAAAACAATGGGTCTATAAATCTGTCCTTAAAACTGACAGGAAAAGCTTACACAAAAAAGCTACCGATAATGGTAGTTGCTATTGTCCTTTATTTGAAAGCCTTCTAGGTTTCGGCAATTTCTTTTCAACCATTGTGTGTAACTTGACTCCCCCCAATTAGCACTTGTTGGGCGCCTGCTGGGACATATCATTGAATTATACGGCCAAGGAAAGGGCAAATTATGGAAATCTCATGAGGCTTGTTGGAAAGACAACTGCAGTTTCCTTGTCGACTTTGGCCAAGGGGAAGTTGATGACAGTGTAACCTCTGGGCGAACAGTCTAAATGTTAATCTCTTATTTTCATGGATGAAATTTCACTCTTACCACCCGCGGAAAGTAGGGACTACCTACAGGGTGGTGCAAAAAGAAGGAAACTCACTTTTGACAGGAATTTTAACCTACTTACTTAACTTATTTGAACTTTTGTTTTATATTGTAGTGAAGTATAGCTCTTCAACCATACGTGGTGAAAAAAATCTTTAAAAAAATCGCAACAATAGTGTTATTAATATGCTCATTTGAATACAAGTCACCAAAATCACTGTTGTCCACGTGTAAATCTAGAGTAGTGTTTTTTGTCTTCAAATCAAGCTCCGGAGCTCAGTCAAGCAGATGGAATAAAGCCGTCCATGGACAAACAGGTTTGGCACATGAAATTTTTAAACTACCCTATCTCAGAGACAAAATATGCATTTGCAATCATTTTTTCGTCACTTATGTTTAAATATCAATATTTTAATTCCACTAAGTTGAATTTTTGAAATGTGCTAAACAAGTAAGTAAAAATTGCTGTCAAAAGTGGGTTTCCTTCTTTTTGCACCCCCCTGTACATCAAGAGTTAAAAATCCCTCTGTTAGGTTGAAAGAATTGGATTGAAAAGGATACTATTGAATTGAATCTATTCGATTGAATAAAATTGTTCTCCGAACTCTAGTCCCTAGCATCAGTTGGATCCTTTTCACTCAATTGAAAATCCACGAGTAAAGTCAAGATGGAATCAATCCAACAATATTACATATAAGAAAAATCGGTTTGTTAATGAAATAATATAGGGTAATATCAAGGAACTGGTCTTACTGTGGAAAATTATCAACTACAGGGTGAGTCCAAAAAAGCGGAACCCAAATCCCATAAAATGTATTTCATATTTAAAAAAAATATGTAGCACCCAAAATAATAACGACTGGAAAGCCAATTTCATTAGCTACTTCTACATGAAAAAAATTACTGAAATTGCTTGATCCGTTCAAAGAATATCACCATTTTAAACACCATGACCCTAAAACCCGTCTCGTCCAAAAAAAAGCAATTCATTGTGTGTTTTTACTGTTTGGAACAACACAGAAAATTACACAGAATACTTGTTTCAACAACTGTCAACAGCTGTGGTGCACAATTATCTTTATTAACAACCCTGGTTAGGCAAACAATATGATTTATAAAATCTACTTTTTCTAAGGGACAGGCCTTCAAAGGGATTCTGTTGAACATTTTTAACGTTTAAACAGAGATTGTATCGCTGGTGATGTTTGAAGACGATTTCGACGACGATTCTTAAATCGCATTTTCGGACAAGACAGGTTTTAGGGTCATTGTGTTTAAATGGTGATATTTTCTGAACGGATCGACCAATTTCAGTCATTTTTTCATCTAAAAGTACCTTATAAAATTGGCTTTCCAGTCATTATTATTTTTGGTGATACAATTTTTTTTAAAATATGAAATATAATTTTTGGTGTTTGGGTTCCGGTTTTTTTTACTCACCCTGTACATGATGCAGATTTCTTTGGACAGTTAAGGCCGAGCTCGAAAGCTTACCTATTAAATTTGCACTTTCTTAAAGTGCGCACAATTTTCCCCGTCTCAACTGATAAGATATTCCAAGTGAAGAGGGCCGTTGAAATGAGACAAGAACTTTGAACCATCCCTTGCACGCGAGCGTGACAATTATTCTCCCTATACTCTTTTTCTATGACGTCATCGGAACTGACCAAAACAGTTTGCCAAAAAAATCATCACTGGTCATAGTTAATTTGGGTATATACGGACTATGAATTGCAGAGATTTGATTGGTTGGTAGCGCGCGTGACGCACTTACTTCCCCCACCTGTTCTCGTGGTTCTCCGCATTATGGGCGTGTACCGTATACAGGGGTTGACGACACCCAAAGTTACGGGGTATGATTCAGCTCGACCCGCTGATGTTCCTTCTGTGAAATGCTTTTTTTTAGGGGGGGGGGGTAGTCGAAGTTTAGCTGCTCACCTGCCTAAGATATCAAGCGGCTTGTTCGCGTTTCACACTGTTGACAAAACTTCCTCCTTAACCGATCCTAAAACACGTGCTTTTTATCCCGTGTAAAGCCGTTGTCTGGACTGTTTAAGAGCCTCACCTCGATTAAGATCCGATTTGTTGTGTGAAGATGAATGTTGCCTATATATCTGAAGGGTAATGACCAACAGACCAACCTACGTCATTTGTTTGTTTGTTGTTTGCTTGTTTGTTTTCTGAAATGTGTTTACCCGACCAACTGTCCCGCAAGAGATGAACAGTCTATATATTCTGCAAAACTCTGTTGCCGATGTTAAATTGTTACCTGCCAACTTGTTGTTATATTTGATTTTACATATATAGTGCCTATTTGTTGTTTGTGTGTCTGTTGGTTCGTCTCTGCGTCTCTCGGCGCTCATTTTCCCTCAAGCATATATGATTTCAAAGTGATACCGCGTAAAAAAGAACCTCATCTTTGAGTTGCATGTGATTAAAACTTATATTTCATCCCATATAGGCCTTAAGAGTAATGTATGACACAAAAGTCTAAAGTGAAGGTTTAGTTTTTAAAAAAGTTTAAAAAGAAAAGGTCGTCTATAGTAAGACGGACCCACCCAATCTATGTACGTCTTCACCCTAGCGTGTTGCCCCATGCACCTGTGCAAGCCTGTCCGAGATTCTATCCACCAGGATATTGGAGGCGAGTTAAACCATTTCGCGGGTTGACTCGGGAAGCGCCTTGACAAACCGTGACACATGTTCAGCGGGGTATAGAAGGCCCCTCTTACGGCCTCCCAACACCATGCGTCTTGGCCGGGGGAGATAAACTGAGAACACGAGTTGGTGTTTCCTCTGAAAATTGTGGAAAAGCTACAAACCAAGGCCTGACTGATATCTTGAGGAGATTAGAGGGGAAGTTATAGGCCTGCCCAAAGTCTAGTAGGAATCATGGTTGAGCCTCATTCTTAATTTCTTTACGTTGTTGCAATTCACCATTGCATAAATGCCCAAGTCGTGCAAAAAAGTGTAAAAGGTCAATTTCTGTTTCCTTCGTTATATCAATAAAAACTATTTAAATAGAAAATATCTCATTTTCGAAAAAGGGAATTTAATGGTGGAGAAAACTGATTTAAATAACCTTTCAATATTTTCAATTAAAAACAGGTTATTATTGATGCTTTGTCCATTTCACTCAATTTGTATAAAATAAAATAAAAAGTCAAAAAAGTTGTAATAGTTCGTCTTGGTCAATTTCTATGCATGGTAAAAGACTTTAGTTTTACTAAATGTTTGCCAATCTTCCATAGAAAGTGTTACAGGTTCGCAAAGTCATATTATAGTGACGTGGATTATAACAGGCATACTCTCTAAATTCCAAAGAGTGAAATTAGGGACTAGACGTGTTAGACTTAAAATCACTCTCATTTTCGATTGAAATAGTCTGCAAAATGAACCACTTTAGTCGAAGCTCGAGTGAAAACTCGATCTTTACGATTGAAGAAATTTCACTCTAAAACGTCTAGTCCTAGTTTCCGACTGTCGGAGTGAATCCACATTGAAATGGAGTGAATTTTCACTCTTTGGAATTAAGAGTACTCTTCGTGTCAGAGTGTTATGAAATTTATTTCCAGAACTAACTGAATGTTTGGACTTGTCCAAAAAAGAAGGGGGAAGTGGTGAACCAAAATATTGCTCGATACAATATTGGTCCATGTCAACTCTATGTTCTTTGACGAGTCTAGCGCTAATTGGAGGCGGGAAATCGGAACTGACCAATCAGGAATCAGGATATTCAATCTCATGGTTAGTTTAGGTCGCTTCCCCTGGTTGCCAAGGTGCACTTTAACTGAAGTATGAACTCTGACTGATGCTGACTGCACTTTAAATTGGAACATTGGAGCTTTTGTGAATTCATGCCAAGATTTGCACCAAAATAACGAAACGAATTTGCTTCTGATAGAAACGTTTCCATTTTTTCTACCAGATAAATTCAAATAACTCAAAGCTAGATCGAAAACAGTGAGATCTCGATGATTCAAAACCTGTTAACTCAAAAACCCTTCAATAACTCAAATTAAAAGCTTCTTCCTGTCAATAATAGAAATCCATTGGATAACTCAAAACTCTGCTTAGCTCAAAATTTGAGCCAATTCCCTGATGTTTGACTTATCGAGATTTCACTCTACTTATAAAAACAATGTTTTACAATTTGCCTTTCAGATCAAGGAATGAGCAATGAAAACAGAGCCAAAAAATACAGAGTCTGCATGAAAATAAAATTCGACTAAGGACTATATAGTAAAACCTTGTTTTAATCGTGTGTGTTTTCATTGGAAATAAATAATGCAATTGAAATGCTGTTTAAGTGAATGCAGAAAATTCTTTTTTTTCAATCCATGAAATCCAAAGATCTTACCTGAAATATCAAGCTGATGATCCTTATCCAACTCTTCTGGACGATGCCAGTTTGCACTAACCCGCAGTTTTTGCTTCCACTTCCAAAATACCAGTTTGCGCAGATGTTCTCGAGATGTACGAGTTGTGGAGAATTATCAAACTTAAGTCGGATGATTTCACTGGATGGTTTTACTAAAGAGGGAAACTTTCAGCCAATGGCGGCAAGGGACACTTAGTCGTCGGCAGTCCTTCAAACAAGATGGTGGATGTAGGCCTGCAATGAAAACACAGACACGAATATCAGAGTAAATCGTTCGTGTGTCCGTGCTGACTAGAACCAATCGGTAGAATGCCTGAGGTGTCACTTGAACCCCCAAGGGCTATCCTAGGCCTTCATCGAATCAAGTGTACGGCTGTGGAAAATACAGGAAATCCCGTGTAACGCCAAGTGGTGATCTGCGAGGCAGGGAGCCCGCCTCGTGGTCACTGCAAATTAAGGCCGAGCTATCAGGCCGAGACTGGTATACGCTCCCCCTTCTTACCACGTATACGGATAACACCATAAGGCAGTGATGGTTAGTCCGCCCTGCCAAAACTAATCACCAATCAAGTCCAGTGAGTTAACTTGCCTCGTTCTGCCTAGGATACCGCCCTTTCACTCCGTCTCTGCACCATCACGCACTACCGCGTGATGTATTGTTTCAAGGAGTTTGGAGATTGGCCGAAGGAGGGTTACACCCATTCGGGATACAGACAGTAACATGTGGTGCTGTCAGGGTCTATAAAGTGCAGCCAGGGGTGACGAGTATTTTGCGTGGGTCTCCACCCGTCTCCCGGATGTTCTGATAATGAGCCCTGTTCGTCTTGTGCGCGTCTGTGACACGCAACGACACAGATTGCAACCTCCCCATTGCGGCCACCTGGACATGATTCCACCTGTCTTAAGCGGACAGTCCAATCGGAAAAGCTATGGACATTCACAGGTTAAGTCATTAATTGGCACACTTATCAACAGACACTCAAAGTAAAATTCGATATCATTATAGTTCCCCAATATTACAGTTTTACCAAAATGATATTACATTTGACAAAATAATATCATTATGAAAACGGTATTTTTTTCGTTTTGAGGGACAAAATAACCGGTTGTTAATTTGACTTTTTGTAGGGCCTACCAGGTTCAGTGGATTCTGATCTGCAGAGGTACGGGCTAAAAGCAAAAACAAATATTAAGTTTTCGAATGTAGCATACCGGGAAAACGCTAAGTTCCATTTTCAAAAAAAAATCTTGTTTTTTTCCCGGAAAATTGAACACAACAAAAGTTCACTGTTATTTCTCGCACTGATCTCATGTTTGTAGTAAGGCAAAAAAAGGTAATGAGTTCGGCCTACATAGAAAATAAATATGTGTCGGGTTCAAAATGAGATTTTTTAACGATCTTTTTACCGACAGAGTATGAACCGAGAAAATTGTTACGACCCCTTGCCGACAAAATATAAACCGAGAAAGCTGGTAGCAAATGGTCTCATCTTTTTAAGAGTAGGGGCCTAATAGCATCTGACAGCCCCTCGACGCGAAGTTAGCAAAGTCATTCTCTTTGCCAGGGTGAGTGGAAAAGATAGCGAGTGAATTTGACAGCGCTTCTTAATTCCAAAGTTCCCGACAAATATCCCGATAAGCCTGGTAAAGGGGAACGCGTTTTTGTGGCAGCACAGAGGGGTCGATAGGAACTGCGTCCGTGACTACAGTTTTTTTTTTTTTTTTTTTAGTTTTGGGCGGGATTTTTTTGGCGGGAATTGGAGACGGGATTGTGTCACTCGTGTATCATCGCGCGCGGGGTGTTGCGGGGGAAAAAAGCGGGAAAGTAAAATGGGTGGGTTGGTGTTGCTAATACCGTGTGATCGCGCGTGGCTTTGGTGAGATTAGTCTCAAGGGTAAATATAGGTTGCTTGGGCTGACGATGCATGGGGTTGGGTGTTGGTGGCAATGAGTGCTGATTGCAGAGTGTCCTACTTAGGTTTGGTATGCTAAACGATGAGTACGCACTTGATGATTGAACTGAAACTGAAGATCAGGTGTAGGCGGGTCTATATACAATTTACAGTTGACAAAGTGGCATCAACGTGAGCTGTGTTTACAATCAAAACCCCCAAAATATATTTCATATTTAAAAAACTATGTAGCACCAAAAATGATAATGACTGGAAAGCCAATTTCATCAACTACTTTAAGATGAAAAAAGTACTGAAATTGCTCAATCCGTTCAAAGAATATCACCATTTAAACGCAATGACCGTAAAACCTGTTTGGTAAAAAAAACCAATTTATTGTGTGTTCTGACCGTTTGGAACAACAAAGAAAATGACACAGAATACTTGTTTCAACAACTGTCAACAATTGTGATTAAGTAATTTGTTTCATTTAAAAGTATTTTATGAAATGGCTTTCCAGTCATTATTATTTTTGGTGCTACATATTTTTTTTAAACATGAAATATATTTTTTGACTCATCCTGTACACTCTAAAAGTCTCGGTTTAGTGTGAAATTTATACTATGATATACGGACATCTTGACTGTATTGCGCATGCCTAAGTACAGGGACAGGTCACTAAGGCAATATGGCAATAGAGACTAGATTTAGAGTCCAAATTTCATATGACACCGGATCAGATTTGACCCGGAATCAGGATCGTATTTGACCTTGCACTTTATAGGGTAAAAATGACACTTTTCTAGGTTCAAATGAAAATTTTACCAAAGCTTCCGGGTCAAAGTGACCCCCAAACCAAAAAACGACCAAGTGCCATTTTGACCCAGTGTAGCGTGAATCTACATGAAATATGGACTCGTTGGTAGTATTGCGCATGCGTAAGTATGATAATTAGGAGAGTGACTGGTCACGTGCGAGGGATTAACCAATAATAGAGAAAAGGAGTCCGATTTTCATAGGAGTCGGATTTTCATATGACACCGGAAAAGTGTCATTTTGACCCTGAAATGTATCGAGTCAAATAGAACTCAAAATCCGGGTCAAATCCGACGGGAACTCTTTAGAGTGTAGAATTCAGTTGTACGTGTGGACCTTTCTTTTGTTTGTAAACATTGAGGGCCATTTTGTATGGGCTGCCGCAAGCGCATAAATTGAAGCCGCGGTTGGCAACATATTTTTCCAAAAAAGTCCTCATATTTTTCCAAAAAAATCCTTATAACACCCTCATTACATAACAAAAAACATCTTTAGGAATTATTTCGTAGGATTTGTTGATAATTTTGTATTTTCAACGATTAAAATAATATTTTTGTAATCATGAATAACTATTCTTCATTTTTGCAGTGTTGGACCTTCCATAGTTTGGCAACCTGTGGTTGGCAAAATGGTCGGCGACTGAAAGGTCTATAATATTATGAACTTCGTTTTTTGAAATAGAATGTATCTTTTCATCCTACACTAAGTAAAAAAGAAGAAGGAATATTACAAATAAGAAATGAAAGAATTCCTACAATCGGAAACAAAGAAACAGAAGGGACTTTAAACGAAACAATGCAAGGCCATTAATGAACGTCAATTATGCAGAGTTTGCGTGCACTAATTCTTTGATCTGCGCTCCGTAAGGTAGGCGCGTGAGTAAGGCGTGACACATCGGTAGTTCGGATATCCTCAATGATGTCGGATCTGGACGCTGGTGGCGTCGGCCCAATTACGAAATGGGGGGGGGGGGGGAGTTGAGAAAAAGGGTTTCCCAGCCAAAACCGGTGGGAAAACCACACTTGTGACGTAATCGCATAAAAAAGAAGAAATGATTTTGATGGTTAGCGCACGTCTTGTGCATGTCCCGAGTCTTCAAATCTGAACATTCTCTCCAGTAGCGTTTCTAGGTTTGAGTCGTTCGGAAAGGGGGAGGGCCGGGAAGGGGTGGGGGAGCGAAATAAGTATTTTTCTGGAAAAAGTGGCCCCAATTTGTTTCCGTTCGGTATTTTAATTTTTTTTAAGAAAAGGGGGTTGATATTAATACCAATCAAAGTTGAGAGGTCACCGTGCTATCTCTTTTTATAGGCCGCCTATGCTTTGGATTTTTGTTGTGCTAAAAATTGCTGGTTTACACTTGTCGATGAAGCAATGTCTCCGACCTAAGTCGGACCAACAAAGTTGACTTTGTACGTGACAGGTATGAGGAGTTTACAGGGTTTCCCCAAAAAAGTTGTGCAAGCAGATATCCTTAAATTTCTCAAAAACTACTCAACATGAGTATTTCATCTTGATGGAGCATATTAATTATACTCTTGTGTATATTCATCAAAAATGCCATGAAAATCCGTTCATGCAAACGAGAGACCTAACAGATTATAAAAGGCCATGGGATTTACACAGTTAATTTACATCAGAGTGAAAAGGCCTATGACAATCTTATCCACTGGGATTAATCCCATTGGAATGGTGAAAAAACCTACAGCCTTTTACAATCTGTTGGATCTCTGGTTTGCATGAACGGATTTCCATGGCATTTTCACTGATTATACGCAAGAGTATAATTGATATGCTCCATCAAGATGAAATACTCATGTTAAGTAGTTTTGGAGAAATTAAAGGATATCTGCTTGCACACTTTTTGTGGGACACCCTATAGTGTTTCTACTTTCTACACACACAAAAATAAAGAGAAGAATTGTTTGTATTTTATTAGTCCAAGTCCAATGATTCCACTTGACAATGAAACACATCCTGTAGATGCAACCCAGCAATTCATTGCACTGATTAAGTAACAAGCGAGGAGTCATAATGCCTCATTTTTATACGAAGGAAACACTGATGTAACACGAGGCAGCGACAACTCAAATTGTCTTCCACAATTTAGTCGAGTTCCGGGCTCGTTCATTCAGCCAATTGCTTCATTCAGAGTGCATCGACCTCCATACTATTGCGATCATGTGACTGTGTCTTCCATAAGGACAATCTACCAATCACAATTCCAGTTGCTTACGACTCGTCATTGTTGTCTATTGCCAAAAATTTCCGCGGGCCTGCTTCCAAAACAGTTGCAATTTACCAATTTGTGTGACTTTTACAACACTGCGTCATATCCTAAAGATAGCAAACTTCTTCAAAGACAGAGTATACTTCTATTTTTGGGGTGGCTTATGTTGGATTGGCCAGCCAGTCTATCACAAAACATTTTTCATCATATATATATGCATGTCTCCCAAGTTAAGCTAAGGTAAGCTAACTTAAGTTAATGAACTTGATTCGTCACATGCCGAGTTGTCATTTTTGTCGAAACAAAAAAAGGACAGTTTGTTTTCCAAAATTGTTCTGATTACTTAAAGGATGAGATGGATTTAAAGAAAGTCACACTAAGATGATTGATACAGAAAGCAGTTTGACTCATACATCTTTACTTTTTACTTGATGTCTGACCACAAAATACTTTCGAAGAAACATTAAATTCTAGGTAATTGTTGAAGACAAGTCGTTACGAATTAACTCACGGTACAATCAGAACAAAAAAAATTAGAGGTAAAACAAGTCCCAAAGACGCTAGACTTTACAGTTTTAAATATCAGACGATGTTTAAAGTTGGTATAAACGTGCTTTTTGGGTGTGGCACCTTGAAAAATAAATGTTCAAATTGAATAGATAATTTTCTAGCATTACATTAGTTATGAGCTTTCCAGGAAGACATCACAAGAGAAAAATCAGCCCACGACAAGTAATCAATTAATTAATTTCAACTTTTGAATTAAGAGTGGGACGCTCCTATTTCGTTCTAAATAGTACAAGAATCATTCAAATCACTTATGTACTTTTCAAGTTACGGAATTTTAAACTCAACCACCGGTTTAAAGTTCTGTCCACGGATCACACAAAAGGTGTGCGTTCTTTCAGCAAAACGAAAACAATTCACACATCCCTTTGTGATTTGTTTTCGTTTTGCTGAAAGAACACTTACCTTTTCGTGATCCGTGGACAGAACTTTAAAACGGTGGTTGTGTTTAAAAGTCCGTAACTTAAAAAGTACATTAGTGATTTGAATGATTCTTATACTGAAAGAAAGCTTATGAATTTAGCTTTCATATCCTAGATTTTAAAAGTGCTACATTTAGAACTTTACTAAAACAATGGTCCCGATATTTAGGTTTCGTTTTTTGTTGCTCACCCTGTGTATTAAAAAATTTCTTTAATTTTGCAATAAAGAAACCTTGCCACAGCATGTGCAGTAACGTAAGCGTATGTGAATCGCGACACCAACGGTGTAAGAAACCACTCCTTTGACCCTGACCCAAACTGAACCCCACACCACAAGAACAAAATCTCCAATCTTTCTAAACCTTTCTCAAAGGCCGAAGTTGCCTACGACTTGTCTACCGCCCGGGGCGCGCAGGGCCGGCATCCCCCAACGGGACCAGCGGCGCGATTCACCCCCTGACGACCGAAGAAAGATGTCCTCATTGCCTCACGCTGTTCGGAGATCAGTCTCCTTCTGTCTCCACACCATGGGAAATCCAGAATCTTGAGTGTCCCTTTTTCTTTTCTTCGGACGTTCTTGTTTTTCTCCCCGCAGATCGACAGCCCACCGGGCAAACTCGATGATGGACGCGGGAGAATTCAAGCAAGTGTTCCCCCGGATCATTCACTTCCGACCAGGGGTCAGCTAGCACTGGAAGCCCGGAGGGAATCAGAGTTTTTTTCTTTTCAAAACCTCTGAATTCAAAGGGTTAAACTTTAGAACAGAATGTCCAGGAGAGGGATTTCACGGGTGATGTCGCAGCGAATGCTAGGACAAATTTGACTTAATCCGGCAGCTCATGGTAGCAGCACCGCAGACATGGGAACAATTATTGACAGGGCTCTGGCGACTAAACGCTGAATGTCTGTTGCATAAAGCAACATTGTGAAAGTTCATGTTGACGATGGGTTGGGTATACATAATGGCAATGTCATGTGTGTGGTTGGGGTCGAAGAGATGACATTTTAAAGCTGACAAATTGCCCGAACAGATGCTAACTGCAAAGCGTTTTTGCACATCACGTATATATTATGCACTTATTGCACCTACGGCAATGCTTTCGTGGAGAACATGATTTGCCGATTAAGTAATGTATACCTTGTTTACATGTTTATTGAATGTCGTGCAATAAACTCTATATTTTTCACACAGTACATGATTGAAAAACCATCATTTGATGTCTGTTCAGCCATATGGTTGCTAACCGTTGTTAGGCAAAGCTAATCCGATTACGTACTTAGACGCTATAACAGAGCAGTGAAATTCATGCACCCCCAAAACATGGCATTTTGAACGTTGTGTTTCTCCGAAAATACGCTCGGTATGATTAAAATGTTACATTGTAACTGAAGAAGAAATTCTAAACTTCATGTCAGTGAAAAATTCGCCGTCATCGATGCCGAAACCTCAATACTGGTTACTCTCAAAGCTGACCTTCAAGTCTGGAAGAAATCGTTCAAAAACTTCCCCAAATGTATGTATTTATCCCAATTTCTAGGAATTTATCCCAGTTGTTGTTTCACGAGTAGCAGAACACTTACATTATCTAAGTATATTTCGAATTTCAGCTTAATCTGTTTTTGCGAACGTTAGTGTTACAACGTGAACCATCTCCATGGAAAATTTCGAAGAGGATCGAAACAATTATTTGCCGACCCAACCTATGTGCATTGTTCAGCATAGCGCCGTAGGCGCTACGGCTGACCGATTTCGGCCAAGCACACAATGATGACGGGCATATTAGCATATTCATTAGCGTCACTCGGCGTGACATGGCCTGGGTCTCGGTATCAACCAATGGAAGCCGGCAAAAGTGTGATATTTCTTAATTAACAACTCGTGCAGGAGGCTTTTATCGAATTGTTAACTGCACACCGTAATGAATAGGAACCTCATTAATATTCTTGAGGCTTGATAGATATTGCGAACGCCAGTGTTACAATTTTTAAAATTGCACGTAGCGAGGCCTAAGTAATGAACATATCACAACGACTTTCAGCACATACTTGGATCATTATAGGGGAAATAAATCCTGAAAGTTGCATGAAGATACGGTCCTCAAAACTGGAGAAATTAGTTTTCAAAGATTTCTCCCGCCAACGTGACCATGTCTGTGTACATGAAGTTTCATTCAAAATAAAGTGTTACGTAACCTTTAGAAATCGCCCTTCGCAACCATATGGCTGTGTTAGCCTGACTAATGTACAATCTATGATTGTTGTGATTTAATCATTTTCCCCATTTTAATTGGCATAGTTGCGAAAAAGCCTTTGTTTGTGTACGGATTCTTCTTCTTTTTTGTTCTTCTTTCAAAATCCCATAGACAATGTACACGTGTTGTACTGTTGCTTGGTGCTGTCATTTTAATCGCGTTGTGCTAAATTGTCGTGAGGTTTTAGAGTCACGCAAAATGTTTAAAAACACAAAGAAAGTATTTAACAAAGGTGTTGAATCACCGTTAAGTTATCAGCGATATCACCGACGTTATATTGCCATCGTAATAAGGGGTTATGATTCAAATATGGCATCACGTGGCTTATGCTACTTGCTTTATTGCGCCTATTATTTATGTCGTATACGGATTCTGTTTACGACGTTTCACTATACGTGTCCTACGGCAATAGCTTGACAGAGAGGTATGGTTCCCCGCGGCACATGGCGCTGAGTGGAATTCCAGGTATGCGTGATAGATCGCGATGAAGGTGAGGGAACCAGACGAAAATGTCACCTCTATGCGGCACTTTTTTAGAAGGACGTAGAACTATTATATTAAAGTTAAAGTCTGACTCTTGCTGTAAAATTCAAAACACGTAGCGAAACAGTTCAAAAATGATGCAGCAAAAATACATGTACATCAATGTTCAAAGATTATCTTGTCGACAAAATACAAGTTGGTACCCTGCATGCGTTAGCCACTGAAATTATTCAATTAATTATTCATTTAACTAATCTAGCACCCGATAAAATCCCATTGTATTGTAATGTATTGTATTGTGTTTGTAATGTATTGTATTTGTATACATGTTTGTTGTCATTTTTAATGAGTGCAGGGCCCAAATGGAAACCAGTTTTGAAGTGTTTTGGCATTACCTAGTAAAGAAATGTAATAAATAAATATAAATAAATAAATGAGGTAACCACATGCACTTGTTACTAATTCGGTGATTGCCATATCACTAAGGTGGCACCACACTGTGCATTATAGTACGCGTAAAATTACATTGAGGTGCGCGTACAGTTTGAAACCATATTGGCCACTGAGTGCGCGCGTAGTGCGTACCACCTGCGCGCAAGCATGGTGCACCTCAGTAATGACTTGTAATGATTGTCGTCGGATTACTCATTGGTTCGTTAACGACTGCGTCATACACGCGAACGCACCACTGATTACTAACGTCCATTGGCGAAACACGTCACTGTGCACTACTTCCGGTTCCAATAATCCCAATGATTTTCAGTGCTACCCCGTGTGTAGTGGGCGTGGTTTAAGATGAAATGAAGTCACACTTAAGAACTGGTTAGTGTGACGTCACTTCAGTTTAAACCATGCCCACTGCACATTGCGTATAGCATTTGAACCATTGGAACCGGAAGTTAACACAACTGTAGTGTTTATCCAATGGGCGCTAGTAATCAGTGTTGCGCGCGCGTGTATGACGAAGTCACTAACGAACCGCATATAGATCTAGAGAAAGTAAGACAACAATACGCGCAATACTCTCACGACATACTTACTTTGTTTTAAACCAGGCCTATATTGTCATACATTTTAAGTCTTATAATATAAACAAAGACAAGGTAACCCTAGTAAAGCTGGTCCCAGAATGCGTAAAATTCTTTTCAATTGATTCAAAATGGCTATTCACTTTAGTCTTTTCATGCATTCGGCGTGCACAATTGACCGGATTTGGCTCATTGCGGGGTAATCCTATACAATAGCACTGCCCGGTTCTCTTTACCAGCCAGTATCAGGTTGTCACAATGGACATCAGTCAATGAGTCGGTGCATACAGGCTGGCCCTTTGGGACCAGTAAAATAAAAGTGACCTAGTGGCCTACCTGTATCATGCTGTGTGGTTTGACGTCCAATTCGCTGTTAGGACCACGGACAACCATGCACCTTCCTCAGAGACCAATCCAAAAATAATTTCGCAAGCAAGTGTGGTCTGAAAACTCTCCAGAATCACATTTTTCCTAGACAATATTAAGCACGACACCAACATGAGATGTGGCTAGGTTATACCCCCTCGAACATGATTCAAGAGCTCGTCTGGAGGGACTCGCATTCAACGCGGTAAGGGGGGGGGGTCGTAGCTGGCCAGGTGTGTTTTCCACATCAAAAGTCTGTCAATGTCACACTACTGGAAGAGAAAAAAAAACATGTTTCACAACAGCTTCGCGTAGTCTGAGATTGACAAGCCCACAGTGATCTCCAAGTCGGTTTGTTGCGTGACACGCCGTCTGGCCGGGCCGAAAAACAACTCCGAGTTCGTCTCGTGTTCGCTCGTCAGTAAAAAGGTTTTCTCTTGGCGAAACTTGACGGAGTAGAATATGTCACGCCTAATAGTCTGACGTACTAGAATACAGATTCCACTTTAAAGTTCAAAACAGCGGGGCATATGGTGGATTCGCTTTTTGTCGTGTCGTCAAATTGAATTGAGGAAGGTGGGCCGAGGCTTGTTGTGTCAGTGAGTGCAAACTTTTAGTTGGTACATTCCGTGATGCATTTGCTGTCTGGCCTGCCATCCATCATTGTATGCAACGTTAACACAGAAGCTTCGCATTGCTTAGGAATGCCTGGTGTTTGCACGTGGGCCATAAGAGCTCTCGTGCTTTATTCCTGATTGAAGATTTAGCTCTCAAAACAGTCCCATTCATTAAACATTCCACTACTGATATATTCAACGCCGTTGCCAGAGGAAAAGTACACCTGGTTGTAGAACGAGTCTTTGTTGGGTTTGTTAAATAATACATCACGATTCCATAGGTGAAAGTCCATTTTAAACTCTGCAAATTTCGCTCTCTCATTACCTCGGCATTCGGTTCATTCAAGCCTTAGAAGTGAGGTTTTTTTTATTCCAAGAAATACGAACACGTAACCTAGCCTGATAGTGTTAAATTCTAATGTAAAGTGTGTCTTCAAGAAAAGACTGGAATTCTGGACCAATGGAAGGGCAGCTGAAATTGATTTAAAACCTATTCTTGATATTATTTGTCTACTGAATTAAAATTATAAAAGAAAACGCCTACTAACATCGGTCGACGAGCTTCGGAGAGACAAAATACAGTTGTAAATGTGAAATTGTGCCTTAAAGTTAGGGCTTCACTGTGGATACAAATTAAAGTCTTGATTTAAAGTACTTTAAAGTACATACATTTTTAGCAATATGGAAGCCTGCCAACTTCGGCGATACCAAAACTGTATAGGGGCGACGCACCTTTGCTGTCTTTTGAGGAGCGACAAAGTATGTATGTTGTAGCATCATTAAGCAACAAAATTGAGAAAAAAAAAGAACCAGCGAAATCTTTGAAGAGACAAGCCTCCAAAAAATCACCACAAATATATTTAAGTAAGATTTTGGGCTTTGCATGGTGGAGATACTAATGAATGAAAGGTTTGCGGAAACACCATGTGGGAGTAATTTCTCAAACTGACCGAAATGGTTCTGAAAAGAACCAGAGGTATAAACTCGACGTTCCAGTCAGTATATGCTCTGACCGTATTCAGAAGATGGATGGAATTTCAATCCGAAACTTCCGCAGGATGTTCATGAGGTTTTGAGGAATAAGAAATAACCAAAATATCAAAAATCCACCCGAGGCCACTTTCGCCTGTTTCTCAAATTCAGGGTCTGCCCGGTTCAGTCTAGTTTTGGCAGAACACATCACATTTACTCTCTTCTTAGTTACTTTCAGGGTGACCGTTAGGTCAGAGCCAAATTCTGCTAAGTGCATATGAAAAATCGGTTAGATTTATCAAAAATCTGCCACATTCCCCAGAATTACTCGAAATACACTATAAACACTTAAAATCACATGCAGATCGGTAGTATTGCCTTAATTAAGATTCAAATTACATAATAAACAATCTAGTCACAAGATGTTGCGAAATATTATTAGCAAATTTCGGGCAAAACGCGGATCCGGCCACGACGAAGTCTGTTTCCCAGTGAACCTCAGCACCTAGACCAGCCAACCTGTCCCATTATGCAAGGGTTTGTTGAAAGGATTGAAGCTTTTTTAAACAATTAATGAACACTTTTTTGTTCAAATTTGCTGTTTTTCTGTCAAATAACCATTTTTGCAGAATTCTGCCAGAAATCTGCCAAAAAAATCCATTCTGTCCAATTTCAGTCAAACTCGTTTTTAACAAAAATTCTGTCAAAGTTCTGTCAAAAACGGTCACCCTGGTTACTTTTCCTTCATCATTTTAACTAACATTGCAATGCACTTTTCACCGTACTATGTCCTTCTTTCTTGACGTTTCCCCGTCATCCATGCAACAAGTTTACACCAGTTACATCCAGTGGTATCTGCTTTCTTCCCACGCTGTCTGCGTTCCTCCAGTCGCCGTTCTCACCTGCTCCCGACCGTATACCTCAGCTACCGCGATCAGTTGGCGCCAGCCGAGCCCTTGACAGCCGCGCCGGCACGGTGCTAAATCATCCCGTAGGACGGGCAAGGTTACGCGTACGGGCCAGCTTCCAAAGTCACGCAATATCGCTGGATTTCTGAGCATTAACAACTGCAGATTGTATTGTAATTCATGTTGTTTTGTAACTCAGTTGAGGAGTCAAATCTACGGATTTGCTGTCGTCCAGCGATGGAGACCCGGTCCACGGGGAGCAAAAGGCAAAAGTTCGTAAGAAGTACTTTGAACTTGTTACGCAGCCCAACTACGACAGTACACGAATTTATTAGGGTATTCGATATAATCAAGGAATACTTTTCCCTTGAAACTGATGTCAAGAACAGTACACTCTCATTGAGTTTGGGACAAAGGATCAGCGATAGACAAAGAAATGGACTGGTTTTTAATGATTATTCTTCGCTCTGAAAAGTCCGAGTCAGAGTTGACCTTGGCCTGACACTTTTCAGGGTCAAAATTACACTCTTCAGGGTCATAATGACACTCTTCGGGGTCATAATGACATTCTTCAGGGTCAAAATGCCACTTTTCGGGGTCATAATGACACTTTTTAGGGAACAATGACACTTTACGGGTCACAATGACATTTTTCAGAGTCACAATGACACTTCACAGGGTCAAAATGACACTTTATGGGGTCATATTGACACTTTTCACAAAATGACACTTTCGGGGTCCAAAAGATATTTCTCGGAGTCAACATAACAATTTTGGGGTCAAAATGACACTTTTCGGGGTCACAATGGCCCGGACAATGAGTCAGAGAAAAATCATTTGACCGGGAAAAGTGTCAATTTGACCCGGGAAAGTGTCAAGCCAAAGAGAACCGGGATCCGGGTCAAATCTGACCCGGGAATTTTTAGAGTGTAAGTCACATTTTCTGAATGTTTATTCAAACTCTTGCATCAGTTAAAATATGAAATGGAGGTATTGTATCAAAAATCTAGTAAAGAATTACAGTTACCTACAATTACAATAAATTGTTATGTAGGACGAACATTTATTAACATTATTTGAAAAGTTTTTTTCCCGATTGGACTCTCTCTTTAAAAATTGATTACTTTCATAAAGCATTTTGTCAATGGCCTCAAAGATCTTTTCAGGTCAGAAATTAAAACTGCAAGTAATTAGTTTGTGGCCTCAATTCGCATTTCAAAAGGATAATCCAAGGTTAAACAATGTTTCTCCTTCCTATAAAAAATATGAGAATCTTGCTTGTAGATTTGATCCCGCAAATTTAAATAAATCCATTTCGTTATCCGCCAAGATCTTGGAATTTGTCCCGCAACCCAGCAGATATCTGAATCCTAATTCATAATGAGTCGCGTTTCTTAAAGATTCAGTGTTCGTGTATTATGTTTTTATTCCCACGAATGGATTGATAGAGTGAAGGTATTTCTGCACAAAGCCCTTCACATTTTTCTCTGAAAATGTCAACTGTTACGACGCAAACACGACACACGCGCTCTCTCTTGATCAAAAAAAGTACTAGTTACCTCCCAACGCAACGCAGCACCCATCCCCCCCCCATGCCACCCCCCTCCACACACACTTGTGTCGTAAGTCATGTCTCCTGTCAGTACTTGCCGTAATACGCCATTCATCATTTCTCGTGTCTTCAACTTCCTCCACACGATGTGTGTTGAACCTCAACTTAATGGAATTGCCTTCCTCGAGAAGAAAAAGACGTCTTGCTATGCATCATCAAACTTTAACAGAATCTTTAACTTTAAAGACAAATAGAACAAACTTTGCTGAAACAGAAGCCGAATTTCCTCTGGAGAGAAGTGCGGTTCAAGATGTAGGGAAATTACTCTTGACAGCTAAGTGTCAGGTTTTTTTCGGAACGCTTTTCATCATTTGTTCACAGTTCTTCCTGTTCACGAATCGAAGAGAAGCGTGTCCCTTATCCAAACATTTTGCCTTTTCTAGTATCAGTCAGCGCTGCGCTCTGCACGGGAGTAACCTCGTTGAAAAGTGCAAAGAAAGACGCGACTCGTAATCCCCCTGCTGTGATTGTTCAAAACTGATATTTTTGACATTTGAGAAGTGAGATATCCAGAGTTGAGGGGACCCAAAGCTAACGCCCCCTCCCTCTCCCGAATTTGTTCGATTAGTCTTCAATCGTGCTGACCTAGGTAGACAACACAGTTTTTTGGGCCGATTGTATCAACCTCGTTACCAGGGTGTCGCGCAGCACGCATATCCAAAATGTTTGGATTCTTATGCAAATGAGGAGTAGTCTGGTGCCGTCCTGTGCTTTACATCAGCGTTTGTTTTTTGTATGTGATGTCTGGGATAAAAACTTAATCAATTCGTCGGGGCGTGAGTTACGAAAACACGATTTTGTTTTTCAAAGTTAAAATGTTACAATCTTATCGAGTCAACATGCAGTATCACATTACATATTGATATGAGCAAATTGGAAAGGGAAGGATTAATATAATATTTGAGAAGGTGTGGACGTTATAATTACAATGAACGTGTAAACACGTAATACGCGTTTGAAATAACAACACCAAGTACACGATATAATTCAATTTCTTGTTAATTGCGGTAGCGAATCAGGATACAGGAAGCAAATTCCCACCCCACGGCGATTGTATGTCTAAATACACACTGTTTAAAAGGTCAACCCCCTCCCGCCTGCTTTTAGGGTCCGCCCCTAATTAAGTCCAACATTTGCAAGAACTTATGATTACATTTTGATGTTTCACTCAATCGTTATCATACATCACCGATTACACTTACTATATCGCGCCATTCAACGTGTGCACGTACTTCCTTTCACAACAAGAAGCTGCATGCAAAGTCACGATCGACAGTCTCACGGTAGAGGGCGCCAGACGTTACCAGACGCTCACCCTCATTTTAATTGTGTGACGTAAGTCAATTCTGTCTGCAGATTTTGAGGCCTACGTGAGACGAAGTCCGATTCACGCGGGAAGAAATATTGTCACGTAAATAATAAAATACAGTGCAAACTACCGCTAGAAATAGTCTATGACCATCATATTTTCATACAAAATGCCACCAGCTGAGAAGTTAACTTTAATACCAATTTTTGGTGGAACCAATAGCACGGCCAGAACATCCTAACCATTCAAATGACAGTTTCCACAATAAAGCTTTCTGCTGATTACGATTAGATGAAATATGACAGG